TTGCTTTTTTTTTTTTGTAATGCTATGAAGTTTAAAAAACAGGGATACATGTAATAATAAAAACTTCAAGGTAATTCCGTAATAAAGCTAAATATAACAGATTTTTAGGTCATTTTCCCTAAAAAAATAATGCATCGAGATTAAACATACACGATCCAAGTTTGAGAGCAAGATCTGCATGTTAGAAAACTAAAATTTCATATATATTTTTTTAATTAATCATGTAAGGGTTCTTAAGCGACTTTCAAATTTTCAAACTAAAAAATCAGTAAATAATAAATAACAAAAACGTCCTAAGCGGGTATTCTAACTGAAGGAGTAGAGCTCCCGCGGGAACATAGCATACGCCCGGAAATAATTAGTTTTTACGCGTTTAACTTCCTATATATTAAAGGGGAAAGTTTATATAGAGCCGAGGCTCTAAACAATGAAATTAGAGCCTCTCTAGAAAATTTAACTTGTTTTGATGCTCAAATATCCTCAAATTGATCATCTTGACATCAAGATGCATGAGCATGAGAAAAAATATATATTTCAAGTTTTGAAAATAATATATTATGTAACGCATTTTTAGACTGTTAATTTTCAAGATTTTCAAGTTTTCATAGATCTGTCGATTTACACTATTTTGAATCTTTAAACTTTATAAATAATGATGAAAATATATTTTAAGATTATCACAAATATTTCATTGAAACCACATTTCTAGACACTATTTTAAGATGGGTGCGGTTTGTATAGAGCCCAGGCTCTAAACAATCAAATTAGAGCCTGCTTTCAAATAATGTCGAGAAATGTGCTTTCACTACTAAAAATCTTTGTGATAGCCATAAAATGTATTTTCATATTTATTTATAAAATTTAAAGCTTAAAAAATAGTGTAGATCAACTGATCGATGAACACTTGAAAATCTTGAAAATTGACGGTCCAAAAATGCGCTACAAAGTACATTATTTCTAAAACTTGAAATCTATTTTCTTCTCATGTCCATACATCTTAATATCGAAATAATCAATTTGAAAAATATTTAGGCATCAAAACAACCTCTTTCAAAGAAATTTTTTAGGTAGGCACAAATTTGATTGTTTAAAGCCTCGGCTCTACATAATGAAATTTTTAAGGTAGGCTCAAATTTGATTGTTTAAAGTTGGATAAGAGCCTCGAAACACATGCACGGTCAGACTTTATGAAAAAAATAAAATCATCCAATCTAAGCAATCCTTCATTCTTAAAATATTTCCATGAGAGCACCAAGTTATGGTGGAATCAAATGTTATAACCGCAAGGGGATACGCCAAAATGCCCTAGTTGACAAATTTTTTGGATTAGGGCTTTTGACCTAGACCTAAAATGGGTTGGTTCTGGATCTGGACCTGACTTGGCAGATCCAATTCATGAGGGGAATCGACCTGTGCCATTGACTTGGCTCCTTTTGTTGAAGTGATAAAGGGTGAAAATATAGGTGGGAAAGAGGTATGACCTGGATTTGGATTGACGAACTAGTCGATTAGGATCTTGGTCTATTTGACTTAGGTTGGGTTCAAGTCAGACCCAAAACATACCAAGTAAAGGCGGGTTTTGTCTAGGTCTGGGTCTAGGTTGATTCCACCATCCACATTCTACAAGAGTATGAGATTCATCCTGTATCAAGAGGCTCTCAATGTTTTCTTAGGGGATTGTCCGCAAATAAATTAGAAGGAGCTCATAATTATTCCCATTTATTAGATGTCAAATTAGATACTTCAAGGTCAGTCATGTAGTTTGAGAATTTTTTTCTGGAACTCTGTTTCTATTCAATTATATTCTTACATCCACCCATTTTGAAATTTAAAAGACAAGAGTGAATGTGATCTCTTTGTAGACAATCCCTTTTTTTAAAGCGATCCCACAAGTTTATTTCCAATGCAATAAAGCCATATAGATTTAATACGAACCAAGGCACCCACAAAATGCAGCTTGTGCACCAAGCCAAGGCTGCCACCATGGCTCAAGGGCTAGGGAGAGTGAGGTCTAGGTCAGGTCATGACATGGCCAGGTATGGCCCTGTGTTTCCCTCTTTTATTTATTTATTTTTTTAAAGCTATTAGGCCCATATCACAGCCAGTCCCAGTCGGTCAGGCTTTGAGACTAACCCTATAAGGACCGACACCGGCTGTGATCAGAGCTGGCCCAACCATCTGCCAGCCCTACGATGTGAAAAAAAAGAATCCGTGTAATTTATTTTTGTCCGACAATAGAACAATATGGGACTCATTTGGACCATATCTTTCACGTGTCTGATTTATTTTCTTTAGAAAATTAGAGCATTTTATCCAGAGTACGATAATCGCTATCTTTTATTTTGTACGTTTGTAAAGAAACCCTGTCCTCTCCTCTCCACAAGTCCCATTTCTTTCAAGGTGGCATATGCTCACTACTCTGAAAGGAATATACCAAATTTAAAAATGGAAAATGAAAAAATTAGAGCAATTTTTATATTTTTCTCCTTGAACCATCGCTTCTAATAATGAGATTATATTAGTAAAATTATTAAACCACTTCAAAATTCTGTCAAAGTAGTCCCTTACACAGATGTATCAATAAAGTGGTTACTTGGTATCTTCTTTTAAATTCAAGTACCTTCTGAAGCATTTGGTTTAAAACAAAGTGGTTACTTGATATGTGATTTAATTCAAGTACCTTCTAAAGAATTTGGTTTAAAACAGTCAAATTTTCTGTGTCAAGGGTTCGCTTAAATTACCAAAATAATCTACTCATATATTCCAAACCTAGAAGGAGTATTTTGGTACTTTGGCCTACTCATGTCATCTGTCAAAATCAGTATTCGCAAAATCAAACCGGAACGGTTAACCGGACATATGACTGGAAGCGGTTTAATTGGCCTAACCGGCAAACCGGTTGATTCAACTGCTCTAACCAGATAAGTCCCCAGTGGTAAAAAAAAGTGTTGAAAAAACATAAAAAAAATATCAAAAAAATCTACTAAAATATGAAAAACATATAAAAATGATTAAAATAAAACATATTCAAATGAAGTTGAAAATTAACAAAAAAAAAATGGATTTTAACCCATTTTATATTTTTCAAGAGCTATTTTTAAATTTTTCTAAAAAAGATGGAAAAATATAAAAGTGAGTATTAATTACCAAAACAAATTTTAATATTTTACCAAAACAAATTTTAATCTTTGGCATAACGTAAAAAATATTTAAAAATATATTACACATCAAATTCTTTATTTTTGAGAATTTATATACATTTTTATTTTTTTATTTTTTTAAATACCAGTTGATCACTCTAACCGTCCAAAATTGAAACCGTCCACTGGCCGATTCCGATCTAACCGGTGGTGAAAGCAAATGGCCCTAAAAGGTACAAATACACGGTGGTGAACGAAAAAGTATTCCAGATTCATACATCATCACCAGGATTAGCAAATCCCAAAAACTTGGATATATATTCCATCTTTCAAGGCGAATTTTGAAGGAGGCACGAAAATGAATAAGTGAGTTGGCTGACTCACTAAGTAGTTTAGCATTAAAAAAAAACCTTGGGAAAATTATAAAACCTCCATTCGCTTGACTTTTACTGAAAAATTAACTTTTTATTGCAAAGACTCCAAGTAAAAAAGTTATAGTTTGAATGATGAAAATACTTTTGTGTGTATATGAAGACGTCATATTTCCATAAACGTTCGATTACCAAAAATGGTCTAGTACATATTACTATCGATCGAGGAATCATAGTGCTGGACCGACCAAATATACTTGTCGTACAGCTTTAGGAATTCCCGAACCATAGGCCTTGCAATAAACACTATTGGACCATATGGCAAATATGTTCAACCATATGGAACATAATGCCAAACCGTATAGCACATATATTGGACCGTATGGCCCATGTTGCCGGACTGTATTTACAAGTGTTGGACCGACGGCATTCAACGACCAAGGGAAAGGCATTTTGGTCAAAAAAATTATAACTTTTTTGACTTGAAGTATTTGTCATAAATGTTTGTTTTGAGGTAAAAATTATTATAAAAAAATTGATTGGTAAGAAGTTGTCTAGAAAGTTCAATTTGGGGTATTGTAATTTTC